TATAAATTTTCCTTTAGTTGAAGGTATAGCGAACTGTTAATTTTTAATTGTACGCTTTAGATTAGTACGAAGGCTCACAGCTTTCATATTTGATTTCATTCTGGGCAAGGAAGACAATGTTGATTGTAAGTTCTTTTTAAATTTAGAGTAGTATACAAAACTTTGCACCTGGTGATCTACCGTCACTACAGAAATGCTGACTTCAAATGCCAGGGGGCAGTGATTACTACTTGTAGCGGTATCAAAAGCAGTCCAAGACGATATGGTCAAATTTGAGGTAGCAAATGTCAAATCTAAGACGGACCTCGAACTACATCGTACGATTGTTGGAACTCTGGAATTCAAACAAATAAAGTTATTCTGATTAGTCCAGTCGCACAACCGTTTTCTAGATAAATCAGTGCGAACTGCTCACGACAAGCGATGAGAATTGAAGTCTCCCGCAAAGAGTATACAGTTTCTGCAAAAACTCACAGTCATATCGAGGGCTCTTTCATTTTGTATTCCATCTGAAAAGTAGTTGTTGACTACAGATAGTGGCGCGTATCCGGGAAAGTGAATTTTCCGAACCAATACTTCAATGTCGTGTGATATTTTTTTGTAAACTAAGTGGGCTTTATGAGAAATTTTGGATGAAATGAAACAATTAATCCTCTACCCCGTGAGTCTCTGTCCAGTCGAAAGCACTGATATTTTATTTAGATATAAGTTTTGATCCGCAGACAGCCAAGTTTCTTGTAGCATTACGAAGTCTGCAGATTGTTGAGAAATTAGGCATAATAAAACGGCAGTTGCAGAGAGAATTGAACGGCAGTTTGATTAAAGTACACTAAGGCACCCTAAGATGATAAGCAAGCAAAAGCACTGATTGATCTAAAATACCGTCTTTTAAGTAGTCCGCATTAGTCCTACTTTCCTTCACACTCTTTTTTTGTTTTTGAAAGGAAAGTATTAAAATTGCTAGTAGGTGATCTGGTGCGTTTTAAAAGTCAAGCATCTATATCCACATTTCGACGACTTATTGATTCTGAATCATATATACTTTCCTGCTCAGTTGTGTTAGACAAAAAGGCCTTGCTTCATTATTAATAGAGGCATCTGTCTGATGTTTGGCAGGGTTATTGATTGAAGCACTAGGAGGTTGGATACGCTTAGTTATTCGTTCAGATACGCCCGACCACTGTGAATCCATGATATTATTTAGTGATTCGGACAGATTGAGTAAAAAATTTTCTAATAATTGTTTACGGCCTTTTCTACAATAGCTGAGATGGACTGAGAAAGTGATGCATCCATAGCAAGAGGTGGACGAGCTGCTATGCCGGCATAACCCTGATTCCTGCTTTGAATTTCTGCCATTGCATCGAGAGCATCATCTACTTTCATTGATTTCAATCGCCTGAAGTTCCTTTGATCTTGCAGGGCAGCTAGGATCGTCTGCAGCGTGCTTTGCCTTGCACAAACTGCACGTCTTATTGTCTGATTGGCACTCAGCAGTACTATGACCGGCCCAGTTTATGGCCCGGCATATGAGGCATCGAGTGTCTGATCGACAACCTTTAGTACTGTGTCCAAAGCTCCAGCATTAAGCAGAATGCAACGGACGGGGAGCTAAAGATTCGACCCTATAGATAAGCGGACATGCCTTGATCTTCGGAGGGTGATTCGTTCTAGCGAATGTGGCGATTACAGCTTCAGGTTTGTTTTCCTGTTTAGTACAGTGGTAAACAGAAATAACACCTGCTGGAGAAAAGATGTGCAAGACTTCTACTGGGCTTGGATTTGCGTCTACCCCCGAACCAATCCTATCCAGCAAGCTACATGAGGTGGCATAAAAGAGCTCACCAGATGTGATGCAATAGTACTACACTCCAAAGGGTCTTGGATACAAACCTCGTCTGGTGAGCAGCATAGTATTCCCCGCGTCCAAACTGACGAACCTCTCTTATCAGTAGGGAGTGTGGAGTGATCGCACGAAGTTCCGTTTGAATTGTCTTGGGATTCTTCATACGGATGAACCCACCAGTTGTCGGCACCAAAGCGACAGAAACGCTACGTGTTCCATAGCGGAGAAACAACTCCAAGGGCAGATCTTGAGGGGGAACAGAGGCTGACCAGAAGGTAAGCCTCTGGTCAACATAGTTCTTGTATTCGTTTACCTTCACTTGTGGCTCATACTCACAGTAAGGTATTGGCCAATAATTGAGTGGTCCTATGAAATATATTTCATTTTAGGCTGAAGGAACTTATAAAATAAAAACTTTACAAAGTTAAGAACGAAATTTTGATGGCCATGAGCTGTACCTTCTATGAAGTTTTGGTATTAGTAATAAATATTAACCTACAATAAAACCTAACTTAACAAAAGAAGTAATGCGCATGTCGACACAGAACAATATTAATTGTTAGTTTTGGTTTCAATCAGATAATTCCGCACTGCCTCGCAAACTATCGCACTGGCAAACCCAGAAATAGAGGTTCCAAAGGACAGGATAACGGACATGGTTAAATTCACTCCAATAGCACGTAAAAGATTTTCTAACTCAATCTATGAGCTGTAGTAAATTTTCTTTATTTCGTGAACTTCTTTTTCACCTCTTCTCATGGCTCTTAGTCAATGCAGTGAATTGGCCGAGTGTTAGGGGACTTTAGTTCTCGTTTTTAAGGGTTTCCTCGTGATAGTTCTGTATAAGCTAGGAATAGTTAATACAACAAACTTAATTATTCAAATCTGATTTTTTTATAATAATGGTAGTGGGTCTCGTCGTCTTCACACAGTATGTAACAGCACTCTTACATGAGATAATCTTAGAGCGTCGCAACGAGACAGTCTAATTGCATGGCCTCTAGCTGAGATGTTTTTTTTCCTTTATTCATCATGATGTGTTTGAATTCTTGCATTAAATACCAGAACGATGTCTGTGAATGAATTCCTAGTGGCAGTATCAGCACTGGAAATTTACAGGTTTGCTTGGCTTTTATTTGTCCCCGACATTGATGAAGTGCGTGCTGTGATGGAGTGTTTGAACAGTTTCTCTTAGAGCCGGTACTATGTGACATTATTACGTGTGATATTGACGATATCTTGATTATATATCATGAGGAAGTGGTGGCGACTGATTGTTCGCTGCATCGGTCATAATTTAGCAGCAGAAAATGTTCATGCATCACATGAATATATTCATGAGATGCTTTAAAGAAACAGGGCAAGGCTTAACCTTTGCATGCGATGAACGCCTGTAAGTTGAAATTTGGATTCAGCATTTAACTTCTTCATTTATAGATTATCACGTTTGCTGGCCGTTTGCCGTCAGGTCTAATAAAAACCTAGTCAGTTTTCGCTAGGTCACTTCAAATTCTAAAATCTTCCATAGACGTATACACAACGTTTTATGATTTAACGGCGTCTTGTGCACAAAAATATTTTTTAGCCTTCATGCTCGAATTCCCCGTCAGAAACAATTAACATATATTCTTCACATGCTTGTTCCCAAATACATAATTGTGGCAGAAATTTGAAAATGTTAATTCAAAATCACGTTCTGGCTAGCCAGGCAACAATCATGCGGGGCTAACCTACCGAGTGGTCACTCATGTCAGCATTTCTTTTCCACAGATAGCCATTGCTTCGACTTCGTATTTCTATATGCCAAGTAAAGGGAGCTAGTAACTTTACTTATTATCTCTACTTTTTGTAAGAATACGCTGCAGTCAGATTGCCAGAAATTATATGTTTTCATCGGGTACGAGTGTATCGTCAAGCATATTGTGCGCAGTCAAGCACAACATGCTCTTTATTTCTAAAAAGAACTATCTTTTATATTGCATTTTGTAGCCATGTGGTCGGGTTTATGCGGATCGATTGGCGCACTTCCGAAACATTCGCCTACGTGAGCACCACGTTGACTTTACAAACCGAGTGTGCACTTCGTTTTCGTTTTTACTGCTCAATGAATTACTTTCTACTCCGCAAATTTTTTTCACACGACCACAGTTTAGGGTTCCAATGATTGCCACATAAGGGAGATGGCCGAATAGATCACCACCTGCAGAAAATATTGAGACACGTGTGTTAGCACACCACACACTGCGTTCTTTATTTGTGAGCTGAGTTACACGATTAAAGTTAATGCTGAATAGTTATGGTCGTCTTGTCTCAAGTGTAGGTTGTATGAGCCTAATTTTTTTTTCTCTTTGAATAAAGAACGCAGTTTTCATCCTTTCTTCGCTGTCTTCGTCTTCTGCGCTGTTTCAACTATCATTGTGAGCCCAAACCAACTGCCTGAGCTCCTTCCTGCTGCAGTCACAACTGCGCGTTTTTTTTTTTGTGGTGGTGGGGGGGAGGGAGACTCACATTTCATGGAGCGTTTCTTAACATGTGGCAGCAGTGCAGAACACGACTCAAAAAGCAGGTTACGCAAGGAAGCCCTCGTATCGTCCATTCTTCAGTAGATTTCTTTATTCTGCGCCTCTAGACCATAATCCCAGCTAATCAGCCTAGATCTTGATCTGTAGCTTCTCGAAAAGTTCACATAAGGCTGTCGAGGACCTTTACGCCTGGCTACCATTTATCTTGGTACCGCAATCATATTACTTTGAACTTATATGACAATATAACATAGTGCCAGATGCAGTAAAGTTTTGAGCTCGAAGCCCCTTCTGGAAAGTAGATATTCGCTCTTATCTGTTTGAAAAATAGGGTAGTTTTGTTGAACTATTCAAAAGAAAAGATGGAATAAAGTAAATGCCCTATAGCACTTACTGCATTAGGCGTACAGTCTGTTTCGCACTTAGGAGAAATCTCGAAGCGTGTGGCCTCGCGATACGGCAATGATGTGGCCAGCGCGGCAGCCGCTCGTGCGTGCGCAGTTGCTTCAAAAGCGTGCTGCTGAACCGCACCGGCTGATACGGTGGTTTAATGGGCAGTCGGTAATGATGACTCCGAAACTACACTTCTTTTCAAGCTGTAATTTATGAAATCACGGTATTATTTTTCGCAGTGCGTCCGAGACCTTTCTGCTACCTGCCGAAAAAGCGAGGTGCATGTTTCAGCAATTACCCTCGCTATTTCTACAACGCCACCAGTGAAAACTGTGAACAGTTCGCCTACAGTGGCTGCAGGGGCAACGCAAACAACTTCGTTGAGATCGACGAATGCACCCGCATGTGCTCAAGTAAGAAATTTACAAAGGCATGAGTTCCTGTTCCCCGAACTTCAACACACGGATAATATATTTTGTACGCATTTATTGCTGCTGAATTCTATTACTTTCCAATAAATCACGACCTTTCAGACAAATCATGACAGACTTGAATACGTTTGTCTATGGTACGCTAACTGCAGCTAGGTATTATTTATTACCCTTGTATTTGCTGATATAGCGACACCTTCAGTTATCTATAAGGCACGCTATTTGGGCACTCACACAAGAATCTTGAATATAAGCACGTTGGTGCAATGACGGTGAGCGATGAAGGTTTATCGAAAATCAAGGTACATGCTTCCATTCGCGTGCGAATGTTTGCAGACGCAATAACGACTCTGGGGTCATGCAATAAAGGATAAATATTGCGTTAAAAATCTTTACACTGTGGCAAAAGCAAACAGGCAAGGTTGTTTATCTGACGGACCGAAATGTATTCGAGAGGTCATGAAAACATCGTTGTTTTTTTATCACCTGTTTAAATGCCACGTTCCTGTAATAGCTAATTTGATAAAGCAGCAAGCTTGAGCAAAGTAAGGTTGGTGCATAACACATGAATCGTTACATTGAATGTATAAATCTCGGTCACAGATATTGCGAAGCATCAAAATCAATGCCCCAATTCGATCAAAACAGAACAATAACATTTGTATTTTTAAAAATAAAATAAACTTTCAGAGAGAAAACTCTACAGCCAACTGTCAAATATCTAACGTGCAACCTTGAGGTGAGCAGCTAAGCACTTTCAACGATGGTCCAGCTTTACGAACAATATTTTGCATATATTTAGTGCTTTGGTGTATTTAAATGTAACGTCGGTTCGCTTCGTTTTATATTGCAAAGAATATTGATTTCATTACAGAGTACCTGTAAGAGTGAAAGAAGAGAAGCAGAAGCCATTTTTACGAACGACATGAATTTCGGCACTTTCAGTGGACCTACTGTCATTCGGTAATTTGATGCGCCAAAATTCTTCAAGAAATAAAAATTGCATAGGCATTATTGTATCTACAAGCGGCAGTTTTAATAAAGAACAGATAATTTTCACAACTGTGTCATCTTTTCTCAGAAACATACGACAATATGTAACAACTACGAAGAAAAAAATTTTGTTCAGTGCTCCCTTAGCAGAAATTGTTAAATAAACAGCGTGAAAGCTTCCGAGAACGTGCAAGCAAAAATATCCCTATGAATCCTAATGTTTTTGTGGAGTCACTCATCCGAACATAGTAAGGTATGTTTCGTTTTCTGCGAAAATGCAGCGTCTCCAAGTTTACCTTCACTGCGAACGTTTCAAGGTGTTTCTTTTTAAAAGAACCTCTATTTCTGTAATGAAAAATCCATCATTGTAAACAGGACGACTTTGACAGATACCCATGGTGTAGCCGTGAGCATGGAAGGTCTTAGTGCGTAAAAAAAATACCCTTCACCACAATGCGATGCCCATGCAGTATACTTCACGTCATACATAAAAGCAAGCGACAAAGTGGCGAGCACTACTTCCCGATCTAGGCACAAGGTCTCGCGTCCAGTTGCGGTGTGTTTAGATTACTCCAAAGAGCTAGCACAACATCTGGATTTTCGGTCATTCCCACGCCATCTGAAACTTTATGCTGAATTTCATGCATTATACTTTAGCCGCTGAAAAGTAGTTTCTACAGTCACCGACGGCTGCTCTTCGGACCAATCTGAGGAAGCTAGGTTTTTTTTTATCATCATCATCAGTGTTTATTCAATCAACGTAATACAAAAACATGGTTACAAAAGTATGTGGACCATTAGCCTGTGTGGCTAGTCAGTGGTTTAATCTATTACATGATTATTTTATTACATGTCAGGAGCAGAGGTGCAGTTATTATGATTATGAATCTATACACAAATTCAATGACAGGGTAGCTTTTAAGGTATATTTTATCGAATTAAATACACATGACAATAAATGCTAAATTGCTGCAAATACTTTAGTACACAAGTGATAAAGAACTAAAGGCATACATTCTAACAATACAGAAGATAGTGATACCACAAAATATTTAGCACAATTTGTGCACAAAATTAACTGCGTTGAAGAATCAATACAATCGAACTCACTTCAGAACTAGAAACAAAAAGAAGGAAAGAAAAAGAACTATGCCAGATGAGTCGTAAAAAAGTGTGGACGTGAGCTTGACTTTGGTTTGCTTCCATTGCCTGTACCTGTCATCTGGACAGGGAAAGTGATTGCCTGAAACACTGCTAATAAACATCATCGAGCACTGCTGGTCCGATGAAACTCCGCGTCACAAGCGGTAATGTTTAATTCAGGTGGAAGCACTATTGATAGCAATCGTTTGCAGAGCGAACAATTTAAATTTGACAATGCGCGTTGTGAGTGGTTTCAATGACGCTCTTGGCGACGTGATTCACGTAATAATTAAACTATTTAGGGAGGTTATTCGGGGCTGGGTACCCGCCGTATCTAATCGCATCGGTGTGTGAGAGACTTCTGCGGACAGTGAGAAACGGTGATAAACGTGCGTGCGTCTCTGCAGAATGCAATAAAGGAGACAAACGCGTGGCCCTTATTCCTTACAGTTATATATTAGTGCATGAACTTAAAAGTGTGGGGAACAGGTATAATGTGCGCGTTGTTTTCTCTGCACCTTTAAATTTGGGTCATATATGTGCCATGGTGCATAGGAGGGCGCAGGGCACGTCACAAAGCAGAGCATGTTTGCAGAAACACGTGAAACAATTTGTTAAGCCTTTTTTTAGAAGTGTTGTATAACATACCGCTAACGTGCGGTGGCATGCACATCGGCCGGACTGGGCGATGTTTGAATATACGCCTCAGGGAGCGTTTTGAGTTGCTTGAAAAATAGTCCTTTTTTCGTTATAGCTTCCCGTTGCAATACCTGCAAGTGTCAACCAGTGTTTGAAAAAATAAGTGTACTTTTCCGGCATCCGCTTCAAACCACGCGTGAAATTTCCGAAGTATATCACATTTCTATAAATAGGGCCCATTGTACTAGCCATCCGTCATTATCACTACTCGACTGTGAGTTTAACTATATTGATAATTCGTAGACAAGTGCTTCGAATGAACGCCACATTTGCTGCTCACACTATCATTTTATTCCTGTTGACATGCGCACCCTTTTCACTTATATGTCCTCCAAATGTGAGAATAAACCAGTTGTTTGTTGAGCGCTCGTGCTGTGTGCCTCTTCTTTGCTTTGTGTCTGTGTCTACCCCCGCGCTCGCAGTTCGCTCAACCATCATGAATTACCAACTAGCCCACCTTTTCATCATACTGCAATTAAACTATCTTCGCCTCAATGAATCAAATATGGTCACGCACGTCACATCCTCATACAAGTGAATTTTGCTCGGAATAGTAAAATGCAAGGAAAACTACTTCATGAACGGGCTGTCTAAATTGGTACTTACTAGTGTAACAGCACCGTTACAAACCACAACGATTATTGCTGTGTCTACGAAGTATCCCAAGCGCCTGTGCTCCCTTAGCTGCCATAACTTCTATATGCGGACCCTAATTTAGGTTTTCAGTATAGGTCACTCCTAAGTATTTAACCTATTTCAGAGTGTGTGGTCTGAAACGCGCTTGTTCTTCAATGTCGTTCGTGTCATCATCATCGAGGGATGACGGCCGTAATAGCTTGACCCTCAGAAGCCCTTCCCTCAACAATGAAGCAGTCGTCACAATATTATGTGTCTTCATGAGACTTTCAAACGGCAATAACAATACAGTAATCACAATTAATTACTACGATATAACTTTAATTTAGCCAGAACAAAGAGTACAAAGGAATGTTGTTATCGTATAAGCCAGGCTTTCACAAATTAATATATATTTGTATAGAACCTCGCAACTAAGGGAACTACACGATGGCAGGAACAAGAATGAACAAGGGGTTTATTGTCACGCTCTTATATTGGTGAAATACCTGATAGCAATGCTACCGTGATAAAGCAGGCGGCGCAGAGAGCCCATGCCCGCTACATCCTCCGAGGGGTAAGCAATGAGAATGAAAGTTCAGTCCATTTGATTAAAGGCCGAATCGCAACGAACCCACTGTGGTGGCTTGGTGGTGCGTCCCAATGTTCTTGGGACCAGCGTAAGCCTGGGAGGAGCTGGCTCTTGGTGAATCGTTGGTGGTACTGGAACGCCCTCGACGTACCTCACTTGAGGGTCTGGTGCAGATAGGCGCGATGTAGCATAAATAAAACTACCCGATGTATATGCCCCACAGTCAACAGACCTAGTCTCGGAGGAACCACCACCATTATCATTCACGTCTGCTATCCACTGTTCACCTGTCTGAAGGAGATGCCATCTCTAACGTCTAAACGCCGGACCAACAGCCGTTTTCACACCAAAGGACCTCGGAGACGTTCTTCCCGACACGATATCCTTTGGAGACCATGTTGAGTCCCTAAGCCGTACGATCGACCCTCTACCCAAGAGTGATAAGAGCTTTTTGCCGTCGATGTGATGATGCTTCTCGACTGATGTCGACTGTACGACTACAAAGTATGGCACATTCGACCAGAGACGTCTTCCTTGAAGGAGTTCTGCGGTGATCGGCCGTCCACAGGCGGCGTAAAGTGGTAGGCTAACTAGCCAAGCCAGAAGTCTTCCCGCAAATCTTCGTTTTTCTTCAGGTTGCGTTTCACGATTTGTACCTCTTTCTCAGCCAGAACATTTGATTGGGCAAAGTGTGGACTCGATGTTACATGATCGAAGTCATAATTTCTTGCAAATTCTGTGAGTTTTAACTTAAAAATTGCGGGTCATTGTCTGCGCATACCTCTAGAAGAACGCCTTATCTAGCAAACATTGCACTCAGTGCGGCAATTACTGTTTTTGCAGCAATGTCTTGGAACTTCAGCACTTCCAAGAATTTTGAAAACGCTTCGATTGCTATCACGTACGAACTTCCTCCAAACAAAAAATGCTTACCATCACATGCATCTATGCGATGAAGGTACTGGGCGCATGAGGAATAGCTTTTTTGGTTGCTTGTACGAAAACTTGCGACGAGTAGGTCAACTCTGAATAAGCAGCGATCTGTCATTGCTGAGCCGAGGCCAAAAAACCAGACGTCGTCAACACAGACGATAGTCTTTCTTGGGTACCTTCGACGCAAAAACTTTGATCTGTCTATCTGTCTGTCTGTCCATTTGTCCGTTTGTCCACAGTTACCGCGAACCTGGTACTCTAAACAGCACCAGCCGGTACCCCGAATAGCCAACCCCATCCGCAGCGCCAACCATTGTTGCTCAAAGATCAGCGTTCATATGTGTGCGATTGTCAATTAAAAATCAAATATTGCGCATATCTGAGGCACCATAACAACGCGTATATCTTTTGCATGTCCATCTTTTACAAGAAATGACATACATGAGTAATTCTAAGGACCATAGCGCTTATCACGCTTCGCTGATTATGCAACGCTTGCACGGAAATGCAAGTGCTGCCAACGCTTTGCTAAGAAGACACGGTGGCGGCCCCTACCCGTCGCCTTGCGTTCTAGACCTTTTCACCTATGAGACGCGCGCGCACGCCCGTCGCCCGTCTCAGGGCTACGCGCTTTGTTTTCCTTAAAAAAAACAGCCAGATGGCGCTCATGTCTCACGTGTGACGTGACTTGATGCACTCGTTCGCTTCCGCTGCACATTCGAGGCACTCCAACGCAGCGCCTCCGGAATACAATTCACCAATTTTCTTGCGCAGAACATCAAATAAACGTATTGTTCACTCACTACAGGCGCAAGCTATTGCCTTTCGACTACATTTGCGGTGTGACATGCAGATTTGAACCAGTTTTTGGTATGCCCCCTTTTGGCTTTTTGAGCAATATGCTGTTCACGACAGGAAGCTGTGACGAAAACGGCTTCAGTTCACCCTGCAGGTTCTCACCGCTTGACAAGCTGGAGATGAAAGTCCTCAGAAAACGATCATTTAGAGTTCCTTGCTCCAGCTTCCATCACGACGCATCTGTGACCAAATAGCCCAGAACTTGCACTCCATGCACCTCCACGTCATC